GGTTTTTGGCCTTAAAATATGGAACATCATATATTCCCTCGCAGTCATTAAGGAAATATCTTTATTTATCCAACCTGCATGTGGTTGCTTCGTCACTTTCTTGGAAGTCATCAACTCGAGACATAGTGTCTTTAGCCTTCTAGAGCAGTGGTTCCTAAACCTTTCCTAGTCTCGGCGCCCTTTTTCAACTAAAATTTTTCCATGGCGCCCTACCCTAAGTATGACTATACGTAATTAAGAGGTACAAATAAATAAAACTCGTGTATCTTTATTATTTTTTTTTACTTTAGTAATATTAAATTAATATTAAATAACTAATCTCACTGCAAATATTTCTCAAATTGAAGCTTTTACAATATTTAAAGAGGCCGCGGCGCACTGTTTGGGAATCACGGTTCTAGAGGGTTTGTATCAAGTATTTCTATCTAAATGAAATGGGAAGAAAGTATATAAAGTATAGGAGGAAGGTTTCACTATTAAAAAGCATAAATTAAGCTTGACTGGCTTAATTCAAATAATAGTTGATCTTAATCTCGCATGATAATAGTTGTATTTTTATTTAAAATTAGAGACAGCATTATATGTATATATATATATATATATATATATTTGGGTTGATTAATAGTTAAATTTTTAATTCAGATAATTGACATTAAAACCTAAGAATGAAGAATCTGCCAAAATGTTTATTGGCGCACACACGCAAAATATATTAGCAAGACCTATCAGATTGTCTATGCAAGTCAAGTGAGCTTGACTTATACTATCTCAAGTTATTTTTCTCGTTGCGAGATGGGTTTTCGCGACTGTAATATGTGAAAATTCCTGGCCTTCCTTGAAGTTCTCTTTGGCCGTGTGAATTATGGGTTACCGCGTCGAGATTACACGCTGCACTATCGTGGTTCGAATCCCACTGGGAGTGTTGACAAGACCTAGGCGAGCTCAAAACCGCAGTCCTGCTTGGATGAGAACAGCTTTTGGGAAAGAAAGACTACGTAAAATTCAATGAAAACAGCGTGTATACTCAAATGAGGGTGGGAAAATTCAACTGCCAGTCATTCATAACCTTAATCGAAATAGGGTAAATACATCGCATATATCTCTAGTTAGTCCGTTACTATGAAGCAATAGTAACAGACTACTTATGGCGCTGTGCTTTGGAGTAGTTAAAACATGGCCTTCCCCAAAATGAGGGCCCCTTCGAACTAATGGTTACCGAAAGTTTAGAGTCACTAATAGTTTCCTCTATCATTTTTAGTTCTCACCTGAAGAGTAAGACCATCTCTCTTCCTCGAGGTCACAGACAATGAACATGTGGACGCAGAAAGTACTTTGCTATAAGACACTCATTACGAGTGATCCAAAGGTGGATCTAGTAACTTCGTCTGACACCAACTTCTCCACTCAAATTATTTCAGCTTCACTGCTTTTAAAATGATATTTGTGCATAAATGGGTCTCAGATCCTACCCAGATATAAAAATATTATGTATAAACATCCTATTAAAGAGGCTTCTCAAAGACTTTTGTACCTAAACCAGAATGGCTTGAACCAACTATGAAGATTTTCATAAGTAATTGAGCCAAGCAAAGTCATCAGAGAAGGTCTCTTTCTAGAGGCGGCCGGAAACGCAGTATGTCCAAAGATAAATTTTCTCCTTAGGTGAATTAATTACATTCCTGGAGTGTCTAGCCATAACTTTATAAATACATATCATATCACTTTCTGGCAGAGAGCTTGGCATTCAATAACAACGACGCTTTTATAAAAGAATTAGAGTCCAAGTCTTTGCGCCGTTTGTACTACTAACGATACTACTAATGCGGAATAGCAACAAAATTTGACGGAAACTGGCTTTTAGCCAACCTTTAATTAATCCGGATTTCAGGCAATACATTATTTCATATAAAAGACTATTCCAGCTAGGGCATTCACCCCTTATCCGTTCACTTGCAATCTCTTTCCGGTTGATTTTTATCTTTAATCAGCTTCCTCTTCCTCGTTCTCAAGACCCATACACATTTGCTGCTTCGCACAACACTTTTGTGAACCTTGTAAGCGCGGGGCTTGGCACAAATGATCCTGGGGGAGTCTATGCTAAAGAAGGGTATTTTAGATTTTCGGGATAAACCGTGCCTCATCGGCTTCTTCAGAGTTGATCTCGCCACCCGGTCCACACAGATCCGCTTTTGAGGGAAAATCACCTTCCACAACCGGATCAAGCAACATTTGAGGCTTGTGCAATGGCTGCTCAAGCGCTTCAGTTGATCCTGTTTATGAATGGGCGCGGGACTCGAGCTTCGTCCGGCTGTGCGGCCCTACTTGGCTGATCGGCGCTCGGAGGGTGCTGATCGGGTCGGCTGAAGCCGGTGATCTCGACTGCTGGGAGCCGACCACAGGCTTCTACAACTGACTTAGCAACCAACAAAGCTGAGCGAATGACAGCCATTTTGCGGTAGAATGGACTAGCTACTCGTCTTTTGAGGACATGCTTCGGTGTGTAAACTGACGGGGTCAAGCGTTTTGAGCAGCATACGCTGCGCCAGGCACAAGCAAATCAGCTTCACTCGTTGCTACACGATGTACCAAGGCCGAGTGTCTTAATTATCTTCGAGTCGATTAGATGCATTGTTGCCCGACAGACCGACCGACCGACAGACCGGGCGGTCTGGAGCCGGATCTGACGGTTTACCTCTCGACGAAGTGGTCACTGGCCGGTGCATCGGACCATTGTTTCGTCAAATTCATCTGTCTCTCCACACGCAAGGTTACACCCGAGTTCTGTTATAGTACAGAATTTGGATTCGACACAGAACAGAGAATCGGACAAAACAGAACTTTCGAGTAGGACACGCTGCCTGGCAACGTATCGCAGCCACCGGATGGCGAAACACCGACGAAAGCTCGGCTGCTCTGTAAGTTGGCGCAGTCCGTGAAACACCGGAAGCCCAATGTTTCTGCGGTACATCATATCACCTTTGCGCATCCGAGGCCAGAGCCAGTTGCTAGTTGCGAGACGAGAAATGCAATCTTTTCAATTACCACTTACAACTTTCTTTCTTTATTTCTTTCTTTCTTTTTTGCAGCATCTTGTGGCCTCTTGCTTCCAAACGGCGAGTCTGTATGACTGAAAAATGTGCTTATCGCTTTAAGGTGGGTTGAACATTTGCTGATTCTTGCTGGTATTGATTGCTGGTAGCTACTTTAACTGGTGAAACCGCAGAATTGTGAAGAGGCTCCTTCGCGACGAACAGGACTACTCCCCGGACTAGGTCAAGAGGAGTTCTTCTTCCCTTCTGTCTAGTAAGTTAGGCTGTACCGCATTCATTATTTCTAGCCTCATGCATGCCCTTGCTAGGTTTATTGCCATAGTTATGCTGCTCTCTTGGCAACGGATTACTTCCTCATGTCGGAAAGTAGGGTGCCGTCTCGAGGATACAGTTCCACCAAAGACAGAGTCTTACAAACAGTTCGCAAGGATACAACTACTGTCCAACGACTACTTGCAAATAGGGAAGTAGTTCTTGCATCGCAAGAGTGGAAGGCATCTTCCGCCTCATCCGGCCATCACCTGCCCCCAAAACGGGAGTCGAACTCAACGCCCATGCGACACAACTGCAAGCAATCCGAAATGCTCGCCTCGTCGAATAGGCTGCCTCCTGGTTGCCTAGCAACCGTAGGGTTCTGAATTCGACATCCAGGCGCATGTGCGTAAGTGGGCGACTTGATGAGAAATAGGAAGAGGATTGACGAATGCAACATGTTAGTGTAAAGGTGTGAAGAGTAATAGTAATTTCACCTCTTTTTCACAACGCGGTTGGTTGTCAGGACAACCTGGGCGAGTGCTCCTCACCCGCGGTCGTCTGCAATCGTAGTCGCGAGAAGTTGCAGCTTTGGACTGTGAAATTGGTGCACTTTCAGACATTTCACTGGCATCGTCACTGAGACATGTCAGTCTTAGCACCCAACTACAACTCGTCAAAGGGACCAGTGAAGGCCTCACCTTGAACAACCTTTTGTCAGTCAGGTCCTGGTACATTCATAGGCTCCAACTTAGGTTGCGTCGGGTGAAGAAGGACTGATAGTTAAATATTTTTCAAAAGTATATGAGTCGGACTTAAGATTCGTACATGCTCGAACGTAAACAGGCACATACACACTCACAGACTTCGAAGTTGATATATGACCATAACTAACCAAATCAATTTATACCTCATCAAAGAGACCGAATGTAGATTAGGTATAGCGCTTTTTAGGGATTTCCTGGTGAGTTTTCTTGTCTCGTTAGCTTCAATTTGGTTGTGACGATGATACCTTTTTCTGATGATGCTCTTCATGTGACGGACGAAAGCTAAGCACCTTTTTTCCGGAATTGAAGGAGATTGCCTCGGAAACAGCGTCAACAGGAATGTTCCAGTAAAGCTGGTCAAGAGGAATCCGCCGTCGTCTTCTGGTGGAACCGACCTTCGAATCTCTCTATCCAACACTTTCACTCGGCATGGAAGTAAGCTCAACAATAATGAAAAAGAGATTTCTCGAAGCCCAACTTTTCTTCGTATTTATGAGTACACCTTAAGATTTGCTTCCTTGTTTCCACCTCGCATGGGTATCATCAGCAACGTAAGCATAAATCGAACCCAAGTTTTAACTGTGTAATATACATTTTGTAGATAGGTGGGTTCTCAAACTACCGGCATAATTCGTGAATAAGAAGTTTATTCACCATATTTCGTCTAAAGTGATGAAAACGGTGCCAGTTGGGCTTTA